CCTTATAGTATATAAATGTATGTTGAATATTTTTTGCCTCTGTTTTATATTATTTATTTGATTTGTCTTTTTTATCTTTCTTCCAAAATATATTACTTTATGTATTTTTTACCATGCATTTGCCTTATTTTATTATATTAATAATCACTAACACTGTTAATATTTAACTGTCACAGAATAATTGGAAGATTTTCTGAATATATAGAGTATGTTTTTTATACAAAATTGGAAGAAAGACCAAAAAAAGGTATAAAGCTAACCGGGCTAATTGGCATTTGGCCATTTCCCAATTAGTAATTTCTGACTCCGAAGTCTCAATGACTGGTCTCCGTTTTGGCATCGTTTCTGTGCTTTAGATTCTTTGATGCCTAAACGAGCTTAATAGCCCTTGGTTGTTTACCTGGACGTTTCTGCAATCCAAAACCAAAGAATGCTACCAAGACATCAGAATTTCAACCTCATTTCCCGTCTGCGTACTGGCCTATCAACCCACAAATCTCTATGCACCATCACCAACTCACCTAACCTCCCGGCGTCTCTCAAAACGTATGATACCCAAAACCCTTCTGCCACCTCATGGTTGGATCAAGACATTGTGTTCCCATCACTTGCCAGTTGGGTCGAGGCTCATAAGCTTGGTGGTGATAGCAGCAAAGTTGTCAGACACTCGCTCGGTGAGAAACCCGACGCTGATGTTGATAAGATTGATAAAATCCTTGAGCAGAGGTACCCAACTCCTGATTATGTTGTTCAAGCTTTAAATGAGTGTGGTGTAAATGGATTAAGCGATTTGGTGTCTCAGGTTTTGAAGAGATTTAGCAATGATTGGATACCAGCTTTTGGGGTCTTCATTTGGGCCAAATCACAAACAGGTTATAGGCACCCACCAGAGTTGTGTAATGCCATGGTTGATATATTAGGGAAATCAAAAGAGTTCAAACTAATGTGGGAATTGGTTGAGGAAATGAATCGGGCAAGTGAGTATGTTACACTGGATACGATGACTAAGATAATGAGGAGACTAGCAAAGGCTGGTCAGTATGATGATGCTATTGATGTATTTAGGAGCATACAAAGATTTGGGGTGAGCAGGGACACTATGGCCATGAATGCACTGATGGATTTGCTGGTTAAGGAGAAGAGTGTTGAGCACGCTAGGAAAGTGCTTGTTGAGTTTAAGGATTGCATACCGTGTAATTCTCATACCTACAATGTTTTGATATTTGGTTATTGCATATGTAGGAAATCAGAAGAAGCTCAGAAGATCATGGATGAGATGAAGAAAGATGGACATTATCCTGATGTGATTTCCTATACTTCTTTAATTGAGGCTTATTGCTGGGAAAAGGATTTTTGCAAAGTAGATGCTGTTTTGGAAGAAATGCAAGAAAAGGGTTGTAATCCTAATGCCACAACCTACAGCATTATTGTTCGTGCTCTGGGGAAAGCAAGGAAGATAGGTGAAGCTCTGGAAGTGTATGAGAAGATGAAGGGTAACAGTTGTTTGCCAAACACTTCATTTTATAGTTCATTCATATTGGTATTAAGTAAGGCTGGTAGGTTTGAGGATGCAACCAAAATATTTGATGACATGGCAAAGCAGGGAGTTGGGTTAGATGTTTTGACCTATAAAACCATGATTTCTTCAGCTTGCGTTCATCAAAAAGAAAAGCTCGCCCTAAAGTTACTTTGGAGGATGAAAGAAGACTCACTGAAGCCGGACATAAGGACTTACACACCTTTGTTGAAGATGTTCTGCAAAAAGAAGAGAATGAAGTTGCTTAGCTTTCTGTTAGAGCACATGCTTAAGAACGATACCAAAATAGATCTTGGAATCTATAGTATTTTGGTGCAGGGGCTTTGTAAGAGTGGAAAACTTAAAGAAGCTTGTTTTTACTTTGAAGAGATGGTTTCAAAGGGAATCGTTCCCAAGAATTTCATACATAGGATGTTGTTGAAGAAACTTGAAGAGAATGGTATGGCAGAAGACCAGGAAAGGATTGAAAAGCTGAGTGCAAGCATTCTTAACATGTCGTAAAAGATGCTTCTTTGAGTCTCTTGCATGCTCTGCATCAATATCATTGAATCTATATTGCTGAACTACTTTTCTGTGATGCATGAGACTGCTTGTTCTGCATCCAACTCTGGAGGCCTTTCAACCAATCGATACGCCCAGAGAGCAGCTTTTGCCAGAACTCAGAGCAGTTTCTTGAAAACTTGCTTTGGATATAAATAATGCTTTTCTAAGTCAAGCAGATGGCAAATTTTTTATATGCTTTCAAGCGACTCCAATTGTTCTCTTGGAATTGCCATTTACAGGTATTGACTTCTCTGCCCATGATTAAGCAGCAAGAAAAGAAATATATATATTGTAGGGATTAAATACAGCAGAAATGAAGTAAAAGTTTTGAATGAAAATAATGATCTAATGATTTACTAGTACAGGATTGCAATCTTACTGAGTACTAGCTTCCTCTGTAACTATTGATTTGAGTGTCCAAGTGTTTTCCATTGGGATCTCTTCTGATATTAATTCTCAACAGTGAACAACCATAGTTTTAAATATTTTACTTTCTCATAATAAACTTTTTATATAATATTTACTTTAGTTATATTCTTTGGGTGATGTCTCAATTCACTGAACCTTAACTTATATGTTTAAGAAATTATAATAATTTATTAATAATTAATTTATCAATATATGAAATTTAATATCTATTTTAAATTTTTTCAAATATGATAATTTTTAAACGTTATCGTTTATGTTAATTTATAATCAGTTGATAGAAATTATTAATTAGAATTAATTTTATTGTTTAAAATGATATAATTTAATATAACTATAAAAAATTAAATATTTTTAATTTAACGATATTTAAATAATTAAACATAATACTTAATTCTTTAAATTCATAATTTTTATAAGATGGAAGGAGAAAGATGATTAGATAAAGATAGAAGGAAGAAGATGAAGGACGAAAGGAGGCAACTTTCTTGCTTGCCCGCTAGTGCTGTGTGTAATGAGGGTATGAACTAGGATTAGATGAAGATAGAAGGAAGAAGATGAAAGATAGGAGGCAAGTCACCTGCTGGCTGCTGGTGCTGGACTCTGGAGTGTTCTAGGGTTTTTAATTTGCCTTCATATATTTTTAATATTATATATAATATATTTTTTTATTTTTTAATTAATATAGATAGTGATGAGTCGTACTACGAGTTTTTTCAAGTAAAATCCAAACTCGCCCTCCTCCGTACTTACTTTTATGCAAACCCAAACCTACGGCGCCACGAACCTTATTTCACAAATGATTTTCTTTTGTCAGAAAATTGTGTTGGGCTGGATTCAGGCGGGTGCAGACGGGTCTTCCATCCCTACTCTTACTTCGGCGTTATAGCTCAAACAAGCTTGCAGTGTTTGGGGTATTCAAACAAGAAATGCTCTCAAAGAATCAAATTTTCAAGCTTTTTTCACATTCCACTCCTAGAAGATTCAACCCACTGCCTTTCTTTGTATCCACTGTTACAGATGTACGCACCACGAACTGCTCATCAACCATCCCTGACTCGCTTGACCCCACTGAGTCACCCGATCTTCCGGGTTGGCTCATAGCATCTGACGCTCGGAATCCCTCTGCACCCTCTGATTCTGATGAAGATTTTGTTATTCCTCCACTTGCCAGTTGGGTTATGAACCAAAAGCTTGATGTGAATGGCGACAAAATTGCCTTGCATTCCCTCAATGAGAAACCCGACACTGATATTGATAGAATCTGTGGGATACTCAATAAAGGGTGCTCATCTCCTGAAATTGTTGTTGAGGCTCTAAATCAGGTGGAGTAAATGGATCAACCGATTTGGTTTCCCAGGTTTTGAGGAGATATAGTAATGAATGGATCCCGGCTTTTGGGGTCTTCACTTGGGCAAAATCTCGAGCAGGTTATAGACACTCACCAGACACATGTAACATCATGGTTGATATATTAGGAAAGTCAAAGAAGTTTAAGTTAATGTGGGATTTAGTTGAGGAAATGAATCAGTCAAGTGAGTATGTCTCACTTGATACCATGACTAAGGTAATGAGAAGATTAGCAAGGGCAGGTCAGTACGCTGATGCCATGGAGGCTTTTAGGGGACTAGAAAGATTTGGTGTGAGCAAGGACACTATGGCAATGAATGCAGTTATGGATGCATTGGTGAAGGAGAATAGCGTTGAGCATGCTAATGAAGTTTTTGTTGAATTCAAGGATTGTATACCATGTGATTCTCATACTTTCAATATTTTAATACATGGTTATTGCAAAGCCAGGAAATTAGAAGAAGCTTGGAAGATTATGAATGAGATGGAAAAGTATGGAGTTTGCCCTGATGTGGTTTCTTATACTTGTTTTATTGAATCTCACTGCAAAGAGAAGGATTTTCGCAAAGCTTATGCAATTTTGGGAGAAATGCAAGAAAAGGGTTGCCAGCCCAATGTCATAACCTATACCATTATTATGCATGCTCTAGGAAAAGCAAGGCAAATCAATGAAGCAGTGGAAATTTATGAGAAGATGAAACAGAATGGTTGTTTGCCTGATTCTTCATTTTATAGCTCATTGATATTTATTTTAAGTAAGGCTGGTAGGCTTAAGGATGCAAGTCAAGTGTTTGATGACATGACAAAGCAGGGATTACTGCGAGATGTTTTGACATATAACACTATGATTTCTTCTGCTTGTAGTCATTCTCAGGAAGAAATTGGTTTAAAGTTACTTGGGCAGATGGAGGAAGAGAGGTGTAGACCAAGCCTTGAGACTTATGCACCTTTGTTGAAGATTTGCTGCAAGAAGAAGAGAATGAAGGTTCTTAGCTTCTTGTTAAACCACATGTTTAAGAATGATGTGAGTATTGATGCTGGAACATATGCTCTTTTGGTTCGTGGGCTTTGCAACAGTGGGAAACTTGAGCAAGCTTGCTTGTTTTTTGAAGTGATTGTGTTGAAGGGAATGGTTCCTAAAGATTGCACATACAAGATGTTGGTGAAGAAGCTTGAAGGGAAGGGTATGACAGACGCCAAAGAAAGGATTGAAAAGTTAATGGCACAGTCAAAAGAGACGAAGGATCCCTAAGTATGTTCCAAATGGTTCTCTTAGGACTGGTCCCGTTGCTTTGTGTCAGTACCTTTGCTTCTAGGCTCATCAACATGATCATGATTGTTACTATAGTACTCCTGAAACTTCTTTTAAAAAAAAAATTTTCCTTATAATTGAGTTGAAAATTTTTTAAATTTGATCTAAAAGAAAATTTTAACTTCAGCTTCAAAATTTTATATATCCCAAGTTTTCTTTGTTTTGAAATATCTCTGTACCATTATCTCTCCTAATTTCTTTTTTGGTTTACATCTCCTGCGGGTATATATAATATAAATGAGATGTAAGGAAAAAAGAATGTAACGACTGTGTATTTGGAGACACACAGAGATACAACAGCTTCTTTTGTTTTTTTGTTTTTTAATAGAAATGAGCACAGTTCGGATGTATTTAAATATGCACACCGGCAGCATAGAGAAAAAAAGAAAGCTGGAGGTGGCGCGCTGCGAGGAGACTGTAAAAGCATATTCGGTGCAGAAGAGGTTACTGATGGTGCACCAGCGACAAATTGCGGAGGCTAGTGACCGGAGGTGGCTGTTCACATGCGGAGAAGCCGGAGGTCTTGGCAATATCTATATATATACGAAGTATGTGTATAATTATAAATTTTGAGTGAGATTAGTTTTAAAATTTTAAATAGAAATTTTTAATAAAAATTAAAATTATTTTTATAAATATATGTTATCATTTTTATTTTTAAAATTAGTAAAAATAAATTTTGACTTTAGTTATTATAAAAAATATTTTTAAAATACAAGGTTAAAAACCGAACCAACTTTAGAATTTTTTTATTTATTAGAATTTGATTATTAACGATTTATTTATTATTATTTTTTAAGTACTAAAAAAGAGTAATTTGGCATCAGTTGGTGCCTAATTTCTTTTAATCAATATTATAACGAGAATTGGTAATCTGTAATAGAGTAAGGAAAAATTGATTTCCATTGCGAAAAATGATAGGAAAAAAATTACTGCTACTTAAATCCAAATTAGATCAAATTAAATCAATCACGAGTCATAATTTTTATCTAAATTAGGATTAAAAAACCGAGTTTGACTGTGGGAATACTCTTTGCTTTGCGACTATTAGCGGAAGCTACGATAGTGGTCTATGCTTGCATGGGTCTTAGTGCGAGAAATGAGGGTCCGATGATGGAAGAGTTTTGATTGAACAAAAATGGTGACTTATGATGTGGGAATGGCATCTTGAACCTCAATTAAACATTTATACTCAGGAAATTTAGGGGTTTTTGAGTCGGAATATTTCAGGGTAATGGTTTGGGAAACATGAATAAGAGGAGGGCGAGAGGGATTTTTCTTAATAGAAAAAGGAAATATTGGGTGCAATTCATCCCCCTGGATTGCTCATTAAACTATGTATGTAGTAATCGGGTTGAGGTTCATGTCTCTCCACTGCAAGAATCAGTTATCTCCACCGGAAAATATATGCATCATGTTTATTCCGTATATGTGTGTTTGAATATAAAATGACAGGCCTCTTAAGATGAGATGGAGCTTACTCACCCATCGGTTGGAGGGAGATAAAAGTTTTGAACATTACCAAGTAGAAATGAAAAGAATAAATAATTGGATTAACCCATAATATTCACAGGTATTGTCTGAGACCTCTGGATAACAGAGTAGTTGAGGTAGTCTGGGAAGGCAACTTTCTCATCGTGGGCTTCTGCCATCCTAGCCTTTCAAGAAACTCCTCAATCAACCTACACAGAAAATGCACAATAGTAAGATTTAAGCAACACAAGCAGCTATGGAATAAACTCAGCACTCACAAGCTGCATATTGCCTTCTGTGAAGCTGCCAGCTCACGATCTGGGAATGATTCCTCCAACCGGAAACTCAACCAAATGTAGAGATCCAATACCTTCAATTGAGCCAAAGTGGAGTAAAGTCAGGCGAAAAGAACTTAGAATCACAGTGAAGAAGTTAAAATGAATAATTGCTTGGAGTCAAATAAGTCAAATCCGGCCAAGAATTGGCAGGAAAATATATTGGCGACTGGTCCTCCCACTCTGCTCTATCTAGAAACCAATTTCCAGCAGGGAAAAGATGGAACTCTCTTTCTGGAAATCAGTTTCCAGCATGGAAAAAGACGAACTTTATCTGCAATACATTGTTTCCGATAAAAGATATACTTCTCCATAAAGAGCAAATTTATGGGGAGATATCATAAGTTCCAAATTTTGTTTTACAAAATTAAATTAAATAATGAAGTTAAAGCACATCATAAATTAGAACATCACACTTAAAAAGTAATCCACCAATTGCATTGCACCAATGTTAACATGCACCACAATAAGCTAGGATGCCAATCTGCAATTGAGGAATGGCTTTCACAAAAAGCAAAGAGAGCCATTGTGTCATTAAAACAAGCAACTCTATGCTTCACTTTACAAGTGACCATTACCATCATCACAATAAACTAGGATGCCAATCTACTGAAGAAAGGTCTTAGCATTTTGTGTTGAATGACTCCAGGAAAGTCAAGAAAATGTGTTGCTACTGTAAGCTCACATATCTGCATATCCAGTTTACTTTGCATCATTATCTTAGGCATTTTAATATATCTGAAATAGTTCTTCCAAGTCCAATCTAGTAGAAAATTCAGAACCAATCTATTATGGATGGCACTGAGCTATACTTGTTCAGGAATAAGTCAAGCTTAACTTCATCAAAATCGGCCCAACTCCAGTTTGACCAAACTTTGGGCTGCACTTCAAGCAAAATTAGAGCTCAGTTCTCTCAAGAAGCCAAATGTTAACCCACAAGTATCCAGCCCAAAAGCTCGCAAACATGTTCAATCATATATAATGTTTTTTAAAAATTTTAAATATACATCACAATAATCTACTTATACCTATTTGCACTTATATTAAAAATAGATTTATATAAATTTATATTATTATACTAAATTAACCTAAGAGATTTATATTTTATGAATTTCATTTTTAAATCAAGTCTACTTGATCTCAAATTTGACCTTGGTTGGGCATGTTTCCTTACCAAATTTGAACTGAGCCAAATTCAAACTTTAAAATTCCTTATACATACTGAATTCGAGGCTTAAAAGAGCATGAATCGAGCTTTGAGCCAAAATTTAAATGCTGTAATATTCTCCCTAATATTTAATTGAATTAAGCTCAATCAGTTTTTACTCCTCAGTTGGCTTAACCACCCACGAGCACAGTTTCGACATCAAAGGACCTCTGGAGAGGACAATGTGACCTTTCATCCTTTCATCTTAAAAGCAGTGCTCAATCTTGATTCCTCAAGGGAATGGGACATAGCCAAAATGTCACGGGAACCTCCAAGCAGAATTGTAACTTAGGGTTTGGATCCCCAGTGTGTGAAAATAAAGAGTTCTCTAAGTTATGATGACCAAAATGGTGGACAAGTACCAACACAAATTTGAACCACTAGCAGCCCGCACTAGGTCACTGACATCCGAGCAAAATGGTCAAAAATTCAGTGATGGGTTGCAAGAGCACATTGAGGATTTGAGGATTTGAGAGAGATGATATTGAGCTTTGAGAGTGGAATAGCGACCCCTGCACTCTTTTATGATATCGTCAGTGGATGAGGAAAAAACTATTGGGAACTGTTGCTTCTAGGTTGAGTGCGAGTAGTTCCCAGTATGAGTGGACAGTAAATTAAGAGGAAAAAACTGGAATGAAAAATAAAGACGGTGTAAATAGTGAAGCAGACTAGTACTTTCATATTAAAACCAAAATAAAACTAAAATGGAAAAGCAAGTCATAAAAGAGAAACCAAAAGGAGGTGAACAACAGAGGTAGGCACATATTGGGAACTGTCTCTTGCCAAAGATCCTCCTTAGAAGCTAGCTCTCATTTCTAATGAGCCTCTCATCGTGCTACAAAACCTGAACATTAGCTTACAAATTCACCTACCCCGAAAACTGGTCATCT